CTCGCGCTCCCAACTCCGGACCTTCAGAGCTTTGTTCTCTCAGCGTTTAGGGTTTAGGGTTTAGGCCGGAGAGCCGCCCATTTCCCCCCCCCCCCCCCCAACTAAATGAGGCATGTGCCGTATGGACATGAGAATATTAAGCCCCCGATGGTTTAAGGCAAAACATGTTCCATACTAGGGAATCGGACTCTCTGTGTGAAGCGCCAGCGTCGCTGCTGGTTGCTGCTACTGTGTAGTGTTGTGGACAGATGCGGCTGCCGTTGCTGCTCTTAATTCGTAATGACACCTCATTAAGGCAAACAGAAGTAGAGGCATTTGTATCAGCCTGAAGAAACAACCACCCCTTTCACTCTCTCTCCCCCGATTAATGAATCAACATAAAGAAGTATGCACATATATATATATATATATGCACACACCGTGACACACACGTGTCACAATTATGTGTACTTATACGGGCCAGTGTGTATACATATACACATAATTATACATCTATAGCTGTTCAGCAGCCGACTAGGAAAATGTATATACTTTTTTGGGTTAGCTATACATTATAGGAACCAATACCCAACGAAAATTAACAAGGATACTACGGAAGATCCTAGAACGTACATTACGATTAAGGCATCGGGTTTCTGGCGTCCTACGCCCCCTTCTGGAATTCACCTCCAAAACTTCAGGAAGAGCGGCTCCTTCCACATCCACCGTGGGACGGGCAGGAACATCAACAGTTGTTTTTTTGGTTTTGAGGGCCCTTTTGATGTCTGCAGCGAGGCGTCTATCATAAGCGGTTTTAGGGTTTTGGGCTTAGGGTTACCATGATTGAGGGTTGGTTGCTTTCCTTATTACTAGGACTGTCTGATGATCCTGCTTCGTGTCCTCTAAAGCGAGCCGCTGAATAATCGTGGAAGAAGGCTTGGGGTAGATGACCTCCATACTACAACTTTCATAACCCAGGTAATATGCTACGGGGCTCACAAATAGGATAGAATGGGATCAGTCAGCCGAGCATAGCTTGAACCAACAAATGTTTCGCTAACACCTAGGCCCCCAAGGCTCTGAACACGCTGCCCCGAACTCCTTGACCTACATCTTGCAGCAGAGGTCCTTCCAGTCGGTTCTAGAAGGCCCAAGGCTACCAGAAAATACTGAAACCCGACAAGCACCCCCCCCTTCTTCTTGAAAAGACCACCCAGATACCTTCTACAAGCCCCAAGCCTAAACCCTAAACCCTAAAACCCTGAAGCCCAAAACCCCAAACCCTAAACCTTAACACTCTAAACCCGAAGCCCCTAAACCGCATAAACCTTAAACCATTCTGCACCTGCTGAGTTGGCGTCTGCCTGGGCGAGGCTACGATATTAGGGGTACCAAAAACCTGGGTTACAACTTAGGGGTTTAGGGTTTCGGGTTTAGGGTTTAGAGTTTAGGGTTTATAGGGTTTAGGGTTTAGGGTAGGGTCTAGAGGTTTAGGGATTAGGGTGTAGAGGGTTTCGGGTTTAGGGGTTTAGGGGCTTTGAGCTTGAGGCTTTCGCCATTTACGGTTCTCTCTTGCCTAGAGTCTAGAGTGGCCGAGGGACATGCAAACATGCCAGCAGAAGCGAAGCATGCATGTTCTGACCCAAGGTTATGTTGCCCCTGTTTTGCCGTAGCTTGACCATTTAACATAAACGTCAAACCCAAGTTCAACATACTGACAAGCAAAAATACAAACCCAATATAGCTACCCTACAGCCCTAAAGCCCACACGCACAACTAAAACCTAAATTCTAGCCATCTGCTAAACCCCCCAAACCCCCTCAAACAAAAACTCGTCAACCATCCAACCTCTTAAGCACTATAATGCCGAAAGCAACACAGCCAAGTCCGAAACCCGTCACCAAAGAACCCTCTCAACAACATGAATCCTAAACCCTGAACTCAAAGCATTCCTAAACACCAAACCCGGTCGGCCCTCAGAAAACCCTCAACCCTAAACCCTATAAACCCCAAAAGCCCTGAGCCCTAAACCCTAAAAGCCCTAAGCCCAAAGCCCAAAGCCCTAAGCCCTAAACCCTATAAACCCTATAAGCCCTATAAACCCTATAAACCCTATAAACCCTATAAGCGCTATAAACCCTATAAACCCTATAAACCCTATAAACCCTATAAACCCTAAATCCCAAACGCAACCCGGGCCATCCTCCTCGAGGGTCCGCTCGCTGCCACGGGACTCTGAGGCTCCTTCGTCTCAGTCTAGTCTGCTGATCTTGTGGTGGTTTTTTGGGTTTAGGGTTGAGGGGTTTAGGGGTTTAGGATTTAGGGTTTAGGGTTTAGGGGTGGTTTATTGGGTTTAGGGTTGAGGGGTTTAGGGGTTCAGGGTTTAGGTTTTAAGGCTGCTGTGCTGATCTTGTGGTTGTGTATTGGGTTTAGGGTTTAGGGTTTAAGGAATAGGGGTTTCGGGCTGCTGCGCTGATCTTGTGGTGGTATATAGGGTTTGAGAAGGGTTCTTTTGAGGGTTCTACAATCACGTTTAGGGTCGTTGTTGTGGGCTAATGCAGGGTTTTGGGGTTGAGGGCTAGGGCTTACAGGTTTAGTGTGCACAGGAACGCGGAAAGCGGGGCTGGTTCGGGCTTAGCCCTTTTACCCTGTGTTCTCGTGTCCCGGTAGACAAGAGGGGAGGGGGTGCCCTTATGATTAGGCAGTTACTGGGTCTTAGAGTTGCGTTTGAGGGTGTAGGCAAGGCGTTCCTCATAGGGCGAAACGAGTTTGGGGCTTGAGGGTTTCGGGTTCAGGATGGCGGGTTTCTCGAAATTCGCACCAAGACAAACCCTGAAGCGTAAACCCCAAACGCTGCTGCCGCCTCCTCGAAGTCGGGTGGCGCCTTGTTTTTTTTGGTTTTGGGATGGATGGTACCAGAACTATATATATATATACACATATATATATATATGTATAAATATGTATACATCTATGAATATACATGGGGGCTACTACTTAGCAGTTATGTCGATCGTTACACACTCTCTGAATCGAAGATAGAAAGCGCGACTTTGCCGTGGGAGGGCGGCTTACCTGTTAAGGTGTTCAGGCTTGGGGTTTGGGGCTTAAGATGTAAGCTTAAGCATGTATAGGGCTTAGGGTACAGCGTTTGGGAGTTTAGGGTTTGGGCTCTGGGAGTTTAGGGTTTAGAAGGTTTAGCATTCGGAGAGATTAGAACTAAGGTTGAACGCCTGGGATTTAAGTAAGGGCTTGCTCAAGGACTTGCTTGCTGGCATTCCCAACACTCGATGGAATCCCTTGCAAACCCTAAACCGGAAGGATCCAATTCCTAAAGCATGGGCCCACATCGAACAGATGTGGGTCCCCTAACCCTAAACCCCAAACCCTAAACCCCCTGATAGAACCCTTGTGGCAAACCTCAGAGGATGGAACCCTCAAAGAACCCCCTTACAGCAATCCTGATATAGCAACACGACCTTTATGGCACCACCCTTACAATACCGTTGTAACACTCCGTGTATGTATCCCAGAAGGTAAAGTACTCAGAAAAGGTAGGGGTAGGGCGTTACGTTCCGAAAACCCTAAACCTTCAACCCTAACCCTAAACCCTAAACCCTAAACCCTAAAGTACTCGGGACCGAAACCCTAATATCCGGCTACCTGGACTCCTAGGACCCTTCTAGTACCCCTTGTAGGAACCCTTCCAGTAATCTTGTAACCCTTAGACTAACCCGTATCACCCCTAACAGTCACCTTTTTGGTTACCCTCACAGCCCCTAAACCAAGCTGTTCAGTAACTGAGAAAAAGTATAGACTTTTTTTGGGTGAGTTGTATTATATTAGGAACCAATACCACGCAAAGTAAAACAAAATACGACTGAACATCCGAGTAAACCCTAAACCCAAAAAGCTTACGTTATTCGGCCTGGAAGGTTTCGTAGATGAAGCCTCCGCCCACACGCGCCGAGAGAGTTTTCTGTGACCTCACGGCCTGCAAGGCTTTAGGGCTTCGGGTTTGTTAGGGTTTAGGGCTACTATACCCAAAGGGTATAAGTACCCATATAGTAGACATTTTAGGCCCCCAAGTATCTACCATATAAGTACCTAGACCCTTTGGGTACTATTTAGAATTTAGGCTTTAGGGTTTAGGTTCTTGTCTAGGTTCTTCAGTCGCCCCTTAAGAATACGGGTACCCTTTTTCCCAGTGTTCGGTCTTAATAAGGAGGCCCAAAATACGAAGGGCAAAAGTACTACTGAGGAACACTGGATTCCTCGAACCTCCATTTATTTTCCAGTAACGCCCAAGTTCCAATTATTTGGGACCATAGGCCGCTATTCGAGGGCACAAGAAGGGTCCTGGTTCGTGTTGAGTAGCTTGTTTTAATACGAAGGATCTATAATACGTAAGTAACAGGAAACTGGGAATGGTCCGATGCGGGTTCGGACGCAGCAGACCACCCAATGAGGTCGCCACCCAAAAACGCTAAACCCCTAAACCCCAAAGCCCTAAACCCCTAAGCCCTAAAGCCCTAAACTCCAA